AAACAGCAATAAAAGCAAAGAAAGAAGAGATGGAGGGAGGGAGGGAGGGAAGGAGTGTGAGACAGACAGACCGACAGACAGACACAAAGACATAAAAATACAAACACAGAGACAGACAAAAAAAATAGACACACAGACAGAATCAGACCAGAAAAAACACACAACCAAACAGAAACACAAAGAGACACAGAGAACGAGAGGGCAAAGAGAGAGTGCCAGGGTAAAGCAGGTCAGCCTGGAGGGCCATGTGGCACCGCTACTGCCACCGCCGGCCCATCCAGTACAACCGCCGTGACACAGTGACATTTGAGAAAAGAGAAACAGCAATAAAAGCAAAATCGTTCATGTGACTGGACGATGGGGGAGGGGGAGGGGGAGGGGAGGTGGAGGGGAGGAGAGGAGGAGGGATAGGGATGGGGATGGGGAAGGGAGTGGGAAGAGGAAGGGGGGGGGTGGAGAGGGAGGAGAGAAGGAGGGGAAGGAAGGGATGGAGGAAGGAGGGGGGAGGCTAAGAGTAAGAAAGGGAAGAGAGAAGAGGGAACAAAACTAGAATAATTGAGAAAAAGAGAATAGCGCAGAAAAGAAAGAAATGAGAAAAAAAAAAAGTGGAAGAAAAGAAGAAGAAGAAGAAGAAAGAAAGAAAAAAATTGCCGACCAACAAAGCGATCTCGAAACCAGAAAATAATGGCGCCTATTTTCTTTCTGTGTCGCTGTTGCCATCTTCATTCACCTCCTCTTTGTCATTGCCATCATCATCCTTAATTATCACTAATTATCACGATTCAGAATATGGGCGTTGACTTCCTGTCCTCTCTTCTGCATCTTCTCCATCTCTCGCCTCTTCCTCTCAATCTCCCAATTACAGCATCCGGTTTAGCATCCTTCTTGAGAAATGAGGATGAATAATAGCTGTACTGTGAGTATTTTTGCTTTTTTTTTGTTTGTTTGTTTGTTTTCTTTATCTATATGTCTTTTTCTTTCCAATTTTCTTGACTGTTGTTCATTTCCTTAGATTTTTTTTTTTTTTTTTTTTTTTACTGTTCTCTCATTTTATTCACACTATTTTCTTTTTCTATTTATTCTACCTCACTTGTCCTTCGTTTAATTATACTATTTTTTTCTTCAACTAATAATTTTAATACTTTTTTTTCACTCAAATTATCTCTCCATACGAATTCCTCTTCCCCCCCTTCCCCCCTTCCCCCCGTCCATTAAACTCCACCAAAATCGAAACACAAACCAACGATCACACTATCCTCTCACCCCCTCCCCCCTAATAATTCTATGAAAAATGAACAATACCAATTCCCTAATTAACTCTCTAAACGCCATCGAAAACACACCACCTCCTGTTTTTTTGTTTTTTTGTTTTTTTCAATTTCTTATCCTGCAACTCAGCAACGGCACCCAATCACACCCTCGTTTATATTTGGCGCTGAGTGCCACCCAGGTCATTATAATTCTGCTGACTTCTGTCGTTTGCTGATTCTCGAGCGATTGCAAAGAGCTGACACTGGGAGGAGAGTGGGGGGGGAGGAGTAAGGGTAAAGGGAAGGGGGAGAGGAAGGGAGAAACAATGATGACGTCACGTCAATTGTTTACGAAGTGCGTGTTCATTGCTTTGAAATTTTGCCTATGTCGCTGTGTGTGTAATGTGATTTTTTTTCTTTTCTTTTTATCTTTTCTTTTTTCTTTTTATTTGTCTTTATTTCAATTTCATTTTATTCATTTACTTTTTTACAGCTGCTAGATGTCAGAGTAACCTATTTACCGAGCAGATTTCCAGAAATTTTCTTTTATTTTGTTTTATTTTCTCTCTCTCTCTTTCTCTCTCTCTCTCTCTCTCTCTCTCTCTCTCTCTCTCTCTCTCTCTCTCTCTCTCTCTCTTTCCATCTCTCTCTCTCTCCATTTCTCCCTCTCTTTCTCTCTCCATCTCTCTTTCTCTCCATCTCTCTCTCTCTCTCCATCTCTCCCTTTCTCCCTCTCCGTCTCTGCCTTTGTCTACCTCTCCTTTCGTCCATCCCTCTCTCTCTCTCCTTATTCAATTCATGCTATTATCACACGATATTAATAAGCCTATTAGTCCTTAATAAAGCTATCTATGATAACGAACTGACATAACAATATGAACACAAATATGCCAACATAACAATTGAGATATAACAATGAACGTTGTACGAAAGAACTTCTGTAATATCCTTGATTTTATGTTCTTTACGAAACCATATTTGTAAGAAATTAAGATTTTCTTCTCATTTCTTTCAATTATAGATATTAAATCATCCAATCATCGTGGGAAGACATTCTTCGCATTAATATTTTCCTGCGATTATATGATAAACAATATATATCTTTTTACTCTATATAATGTACATAGTTTTTTTCTGTGATAAGTGTTTCATCATCATCAATGCCATTGTTAACACCAAAAGCACCCATTATCAATCATATACTTTTTTTAGACTAACTGAATTTTCAAAACTCAAAGGAAATAAAAGAC